AAAAAAGAGAGAGAAAACCGAAAGAAAGAAAGAAAACCAAGAGAAAAGAAATACCCTTTAGGATTACGCATGGTGGAAAAGCACGCTATACGACATACAGACACGTTTGCACGGATGACTGAATGCCTTTCTGCATCTCTGCCTGGTTGATATAACCTACGAACCGCCTTGCTATCGTAATAAACCTTTAATGTTGATGTTAATTCTAACACAAACCTTAACGTCTTATCGTTGTTAGCGTTACAAATTGAAGTACACACAATAAATATTATGTTTATTACAATATGAACCTAAAAGAAGCTTTTGAGAAGCTGAAAGAAAAACCCACTATTCCACGCCCCGCCCCCTTCCCAGAAAAACAAAACAAAACATACAAACAAAACAAACAAAAAAAACCCCAAAAAAGCAAAAACTTAAATTTAAAAAATCAAACTATCACAGCCACTAAAGTAAAGCCCATTTTTTCTGGACTAAGTGCTTGTGTAGCCTCTGAACTCACCGTAAGTGCTGAACAAATTTTATGTGGCAGTAGGATAAGTTTGGACTTCACTCGTCACTGTGGTTGGGTGTAAAAATATTGACAGAAGGTTAACACGGGAGACTTTCTTCTTAGTTTTCCATTTGTTTCTTTTCTCTTGTTGCCTCGTGGTATTCTATTTCTTCTAGCTCAAGAAATGCTATTTATTTATATTTTTAGGGTGTATAATTTAAAGTTGATATTTTAAAATGGCTTTTCTCCAGTTTGGCTGGAATTGGATCAATTTTCTAGCTATCATCACAAACCTTGTGCATTTTACTCAGTTTTAGAAAGATCTTCATGGCACTTCAACACAAATAGGTCATATAAGTGTCGAAGATTAGAGGTGTAACTAGAGAGTAACAGGCAAAGAAAAGAGGTAAGAGAGATCACACCGATAGATCTTTGATAAGAAAAAGGCGCAAACCACACCAGAGCACTCGCCAACCACCCACGTATACTTCTGGTTCTACGAGAATATTCTCAACGCAACTAGCAGCTTCGTGTCACCTTACTGCTTTGTGTCTTGTGCTGTAACACATTACTTACCAGCTTTTAACAACAGCAACTACACGTATGTACTGTGCTCAAGCTGCTGGCAATGGTATCAGTTCCTTACCGAATCTACCAAATTATTAATGCAGTTTTTCTACTCGACCTGTTCATTGTCGGTTTTATTATTAAGTGAAAGCTTACAGATTATATACTAGTAAGGAAAGTGGTTGTTTGTCCTTATAATATGTCTGAATAGATCTATCCCAGCTCAGCCTATACCAGCTATTGTGGCGTTATTTGTATAGTAATATGTCATGTCGCTTCTGTATCGGTCATTTACTTAATAATATGCAGAAATACAACTTATCATGACCGTGTAAAGTGTGTGCTCAGAATATAACACCTCTGTATGTACTAATTCTATACTCGTCACTTCGTTTCTGAAATACTCATCAGCTCTCAACGGCTGCGGTGAACCCTTAACATTTTCCCAGGATTGAGCTTATGTTAATTTCTCTTACCAGGATTCCATAAGTGTTTTTCGACTGTCAACATTAATACAATGTATCCCCGGAGAGGATAGCTTTAAATTTCAGCCAAAGGAGAACATAAAACGAAGCCATTGGTTTGTTTCGCTTTCGTTTTTTGATAGTTTTTTTGTTGTCGTTGTTGTTGTAAATTATGTTTTTGTATGCTGTTGGGTATCTTTTAGAAATACTAGTTATCGATTTGTTGCATCTACTGTTTGCTTCCCCTCTTAACACTTTCAAAAAAGAAATTAATCTTCGATTTCTTTCACATTTCACACATTGTGTCGTCGAATCCGTCTGCTGGAATTGCGCCTGAAGAATTACTCTTTTTACCGCTTTAATTGTTGTTCTTAATAAATTCAAGTCTCATCCCTCTCTCTTTGTTTGTCACTCTGTCTGTCAGCCAGTCTGTGTGCCAGTCTGTCTGTCTGTCTATCACTCTGTCTTTTTTCTGTCTGTCTGTCTGTCTCCCCCCCCTCTCTCTCTCTCTCTCTCTCTCTCTCTCTCTCTCTCTCTCTCTCTCTCTCTCTCTCTCTCTCTCTCTCTCTGTCTCTCCCTAATAACTATCTAGATGTCTATTTCTTGATTTCAAACTCTCTTGCTCACTGTTTACTTTTTTCTGTTTATGCTTTCAGTTGTACATGCTTGCGCCCTAGTGCGTGCGTGTGTGTACAGACGAGTGTTTGTTTTCGTGTGTGTGTGTGTGTGTGTGTGTGTGTGTGTGTGTGTGTGTGTGTGTGTGTGTGTGAAAGAGAGAGAGAAAGAGAGAGAGAGAGAGGGGGGGGGCGGCCTAGGCGATTATATGACCGTCTAGGGGGCGGCAAATGTGATGGTGAGAGTGTACATGTTACTATGTCTGCTTATCTCTTCATTTGGGCTCTGTATATTTATATAATATGCTGTATTGATCAGCGTTTCTGAGATTGAAGACGTAATATTATTAGACATGTGTTGGACAGAGCATGTGATAGATGACGGCATCGGCATGGCGGGAATGAATCTCTCTGACTCACACACAGGAACTATTGCATTAACACAAAAGCCCTTTCCTCTCTGTGCATATGGCTATTGTTTCAGACATTCATCTGCACAAATAGGAAATTTGTTATCAAACTTAGTAGAAAGGGGCGTCGGAATAATTGCTGTAATTGTATATTCTGGTACCGCGAGTTTTATAGTCCTAGCTATCGCGTAGGAGAAACGGGCGCACGACAGTATTTGCATGTTCCAAATTACATCAGCAGACGGGGTCTAGACGAGGCGGCTACACGAAGCAAGTGTCAAAACTGTCGATATTGAAGGCCGTTCGCTTCGAACAAAAGGGAACGCGTTCAAAGAAAGGCCAGCGCTTAAGCCTGGACTCTGGGCCGATAAGAATCTTCGCCATAATTTATTGGCGGTTTTTGGACGCGCTCGTAAATGCCTGGGTTCCCGGGCAGCCGAGAGAAGATCTCGACCCAATATCGCGTGGGCATCTACGGCGGTTGTGAGTATGCGGCTTTGTGGTCAAGGATCGGTCTCCTTCCCTGCAAAGGCCAACTACTGACCACAACTGACCTTCAGTGATATGAGTGAGGAGCTAACGTATAAACTTCATTTCGGAAAATAAATAGATGTGAGTGTAATGAAAAGAGTCACAGAAATTGATGTACAGAAAAGTGGGAAGACATGGAAGAGGCTGGCCCAGGATAGGGGAAGGTGGAAAATGTTTGTTCGTGGCCTATACCCTGATCCAGGGTGAGAAAGGCATTGATGATGATACTGAAAAGAGGCGAAATAATGGAAGAGTAGAGAAAGTGCACAAAAGAGGAAAGGGTAGAAGAGCTTGCCTACATGAACGGCGCGCGTAGGTTAAGTGATGAGGGTAATTAGCAGACGAATAAACATGTGCAAAACCACACAGTGGTAGAGGAAACTTTTGATTCTGAAAAGAAGTAGGAGGGGGGAGAACTGATTTCATTGATTTCTGCAAAAAAAATGGACACATCTTTGGGGGGTTTTAAGTGAGTATGAAAATCATGGCATAAACCAATTCGATTTTCGCCGAACAGAGTACAGTTTTTTAAACTGAAAGATACAAGAGAAACAAATAAATGGTTATTTTTCTGGCGAGACTTATTCAATTAATGAGTTTCCTCCCACATATGACGTTACTGTTGTACTATCTGCATGTAGCACTCAAGTGTTGCCGACAGTGCAGCAAGGTTCAGCTCGGGCCACAGAGTGTTTCCCCGTCACCTGACAATATACATAGGCCTTTCGCTAGTCGTTCTATCCTACCACGTATCCCCACGAAACCTGCAGATCCCCCCTGTGTTGACCAGCGTATCTCGGGGATGTGGACAATCTATTTAGCGCCACAATGGATTCCTAATCTGCTCCGATAAGGACTCGCACGACTGCTTATTATTTTCGAGTGGCGTGATAAGGTGTCCAAGGGCCGGGAAAGCGATACTTCGCTCCGAGTTGACAAATTTCTACCAAAGCCCCCGGAGATTTCTGCACGTTATTTGCTTGTGAAGCAATTCCTTGCTCTTTATCTCTCATTTCTCTCAATTTCTGCAACGGAATGGCTTTACTGTTTTGATTGATTCTCTGACTGCCTGCTCTGTGAGCATGAACTCTTGAAAGACCAACTATCTCAAGCCTTTTCATTTTCTTGTGTGTGCATTGTGGTCCTTCATACTAAATACCATCACTTATGGTTACCTCCAGCTTTCAAAATACATGTGCAAATAAAACGTTTGTGATGCGATTTTAATTGTCATTGTGATTCGAAGCATCCCGTACGTATCCCCTTAACACCCTTATTCATAGAAAGTAAGTGTAATTTTGTTTGAAACATATCTACTTCACGTTAAGTCTCAAGGCATAATTACTGAAAGTATCATATTTGGTGTAAGTAACTATTATCTATCATGTTTTAGACAATATTTTGCAACAGTTATAGTTTCAGTTGTGTTATCTACACCCGTTTTTTCACTTCTGTTTACCTTCATTTCATTCAACAAGAGCATTGCATTTACATTGTCACATGCCATTTCAGCTTCATTAATGTAAAAACAATGAAAATACTGTTGTAAATTTCCCTGACTCGTAGAACAGGCGTGCTGAATTAATTTTTTTTTTCTGAAATTTTTTCTAATTTTCAAACCATTTCATGTCCGTTTTAGTTTCAGCAGAGAGAAACACTTGAGTGTCACTGTGGCTATTTAGTGCAGAAAAAATGAAAAATGGACAGACATATGTGAGGGGGAAAAGTAGAGATTAATCAGTCCTCCAACAATTCCATATGTATGTAAATAGTCAATTTGTATTTGTTTCAGAAAGAATCTGGAGCAAGTGTACAGATTACACCTTAAATATTTTCAGAAATACACTATAGCGCAATAATACTGCTCTTACAACAGCCAATGAACGTAAAAGCAATTTATAATTTTCTGATTCAATGTCCACAGATCCCAACAACAGCAACAACCTGTACCCGCAAGTGTTCTATCGCGGACCCGGTTCACCCATCGACGGTAAGGACCAACAACTTCAGCATCCTCATCAGAACCGGGCCTATCAACAACAACTGCTCTACCCGCCAAAATCCTCGTCCAAAAGTCGCCAGCAGAGACCTGGTTACGAGAGCCCGGCCCATCACCACACGCAGGTGTCGTCGCCTCGGAACTCTCTTTCTTCTGACGTGGGCTCGGACATGTCCAGCGGCCGCACGTCCCAGGCTCGCTCAGATTCAGACAGATCGTCCTCCCATCTGATTCAGCCGAACTCCTCTTCCAACAGAAGTGATTCCAGGAGGCGGCCTCCCATCTCCCCCAACACCACCAACGCCCAAAACACCCCCGCCCAGATGATTCCCTTCAGACCTCGGGAAAACTATGGGCCCAGAAGTCTTCTCACCCACGACTCACCCAACCGTCTGGTGAGCCCTTACAGTAACAGCAACAGTTCTCTCATGCGTTCTTTCCATGGTAACCCTTCTAATAGTTTCCAAGTAGCGCCGCCTCTGCATAGTCTCAGCGCGGAGCGGTTGCCTAGACATAACTCAGACCGCTCTTACACGGCGTCGGAGAGGTCGTACCCTTACTCAGACAGGTCGTACCCTCCCAGCTCTGAGCGCTGGGCCTCGAGTCTCCCCGAGGAAGATGACCGCACAACGACGAGTGGGAGCTACACAATCAACCCTGATGAGCTGAGACAGGAAATTGACCACCTGATTCTCAGAGACAGTATTGTGTGACGTCACTGGCCACCGCCCACTCAATGTGGATCAAGACATTCGAGTAACGTGTACTTATTGTGAGGAACATTGACACTCACACTTGTATGAAAAATCGTGCAGAACTGGGTCGCCCTAATCGACGGTACTTATGGTAAGGCTGGGTTCTCTGACAGGTGGCACTACTCATATCAGTACATAGTATACCATGTGCTACTGAGTAGATGGGGTATTATGGCAGAAGTAGGGGCCATGTATTGTGCTTTTGTCCTAGCACATCCCACGTCTTGGAGCAGAGAACGATGTGCCCCGTGTTACTTCTAACGTACTTGTCAGGTCTCAACTAACTATCTTTAAGAGAACGATAGTTAAAAATCTGCCAAGTAACTCGAGACGACAGAGCAGGTCAGCCGAAGACTTCAGCTTGCGACACCGCATCTTTTGATGATGAGTGCGAAGTTCACACACCAGCAAGTATTGCTACACTAGTGAACAGAATCATACACTGACTGCATTCACTATTCAGTGAAGTATGATCCGAGAATCCATACATGTATTTCACATGGTGTGGGGGAAGATTCATAGACTATCGGGAGACTTGGTCGTCTGCTGAATCCATGCATTTTAGACAATCTTCCACTTCATTGTTGCTTAATTTTATTATTTCATTCGATTATTCCATCTTTTTAAGCATTGCTCTCGAAGAGGTAGTCAGTTTATGTGAAAAAAATATTAATAGTAATTACCCTAAAACAGTCATATTGGGCATGTTCACAGTATGGCATATTAGACCCAACAGCAACGCCATAGATAAATTCTGTCTTTAGAATAAATTATTAACGCATTCTTTGGAAAGCTTGCAGTAAGCCGGATTTTTTAGTACCAAACATGGTGGAAAAGGGAACCGTTCCCGAGAGAAACGTGATTTCTTTTTATTTTCCCATCGATTTTGGACTTTTAAGAGGAACGGCCATCTCCGTGATCTGTTATTGAATTCCAATAAGTCGTTAAATGCAAACTCATCTTTCATGTCAGCATTACCCCTTCAACTAAAAAGTTGTATTTGATATATTAGCGCTCTTGTACAGTTCCTTTCATTGACTCCGAGGGAAATCCCAAATCATGTCCACTCTGAGAGAGGAGCAGGGACACAAGTGACTTATTCTGTCTTTCCTGCTGTATAAATATTACAATGTTCCATATTGTGTCAGTGACTGTTCTTTGTCCAACTCATTTGTTTGTTAAGACTGCCAGGGTTAGTCCACGTTGCTGGTACTTGCACTTCCATATTTCTTTTGTATAGAGACATTTTGAGATGAATCATTATACTTAACTTTCAGTATACGAAGGACCGGCACTTGCAACATAATCAGGTCATGTAAGTGCCGAAGATTAGAGTTTGATTGGAGAGCGATGAACTCAAACAAAAAAAAAAAAGAATAGAGGAGAGGTAAGGGCGATAGATGTTTGAAAGGAAAAAAAGACACAAACCACATGGGATCACCCGCCTACCACCCACAAGGGCAAGATCTATTTCACGTCTGGACCAAAACAATTTTTTCATCCAATTTTCAGCCTCAGAAATTTTCCTAAAATGTATAACTCCATTTTTATTTTACCTACTTGTATGAAATATACAACAACCTGATTAGAAATGATTGAAGCATACAAAAAACCATCACTGCCTGCTATAAATTATATGAAGTTTCTTGTGTTTTTTGTTACGACCGTAAAACAACCAAACTATGTGGAGTGTGCTTGGTGAACCGGCTCGCCGTATACTAAGAGCTCCAGTTTTCTTCTGCTTTCCATGGTTTGTTTGTTTCTAGGTGCAGAAACGTGAAAGAGCCTGCTTTGAAGATGAATTGGGGAGAAACAAAAATCAGAGAAACTAGTAAAAAGACAGATAACGAGGCAGACACACAAGCAGAGAAAGTTACATGGATGAGGAGTCATGCTAACGATTGAATCGTGAATTATGAGTTTACTTTTGAAAAGGCTGTTGACGCGATTATTTCTTGGGATAATTTTATATGTTAGTCTTTACAGGATTGCTCTGAAACCTAATATTGCTTATTCATTAGATAGTGTTATTGTGATACATGGGATCATAACTGCAGTCACTGTGTATTTGTGTGTGTGTGTGAGTGTGTGTCGGTTTGTGTTTATATATATATATATATATATATATATATATACATCATATATATTATATATATATGTGTGTGTATGTGCATGTGTGTGTTTGTGTGTGTGTGTGTGTGTGAGAGAGAGAGAGAGAAGAGAGAGAGAGAGAGAGAGAGAGAGAGAGAGAGAGAGAGAGAGAGAGAGAGAGAGAGCGTGCGTATGAACTGCACTGTTGAAATAAGATGTAAAATCAGACGAGCCTGATAACACTTTATAACTAAGCTTGAAGAATTTATAATACATCGGCGTTCAGTTTCCTTCCATTTCAGTCTCATTGGGTTGTGTAATGTATGTATGTATGTACATAGCCTGCCACCACCACCACCACCACCACCACCACATGCGTTTACTATCTTCATACCACGGAGTCAAGTTTTGCTTCCACATCCGCCCAACACTCCCACATTTTCTACCACAAGCATTTCATACTACATAAACATGAGACACCTCTCCCCCCCCCCCCCCCCCCCCCAATTTACGTCTTGTCCTTTGCGTTAGTTACAATTACAGCCAAGAAATAACAGCATTCTAGATTTTAAAACTATTTTCTCATCCTGCATTATCGGACATTATTACCCATAATTTTGTCCAACAGCGACCGTTCATGAGTCACGTTTTGATTGTTAGAAATATTGTTTTTACCGCTATGTCAGATTGCAATGCCTGCTTTCCAATGATAATAATCACAATGAGAATACTTTATTATGCAACTTTATGTTTCTGCCATAGTTTGTTAATTTTTTAGTAAAAGATGTATAGTTAGATCAGGTACTTTAGGAAAGCATGAACGCAGAATGGCAATATTTAACAAGTCATTATATTACACATCCGGTTAGTGCTTTTTATAGAAACGCTTGAACTCTACGTGTGAGTGTCAAGAATTATACCTTGCTCTCCGTAGTGGCGCTGATTCCGTTTTTTTATATTTATATATATACGAATGTATCAATATTGATGGTTATAAAGGTGAGGTAAGAGTGGATGGGGAAAGGAGGGTGGGTGGGAGAAAGAGATGTATAAATAGAGTGAGAGGGAAAGAGAGGGAGAAAAACGAGGAGGAGGGAGTAGGGAACTACAGAAAGAAAAAAGAAACTGAGAGGAGGTGAGAAAGAACAGGGGAAGAAAGAAGGGAATGTGAAGGAAACAGAGCATGAGAGGCAGAGAGAGAGAGAGAGAGAGAGAGAGAGAGAGAGAGAGAGAGAGAGAGAGAGAGAGAGAGAGAGAGAGAGAGAAGGAGAGAGAAAGAGAGAAAGGGAGAAAGAAAGAGACAGAGGGAGAGAAGGTGCTAGTAAAAGGATGACACATATTGGGGAACTGAAGAGTGTCGACATGAAGAAAGAGAGACAGATCAAAAGGTTGAAAGAAGCAATGCAAAAATATGTATAATAGTATAGTCATGACTGGTAACGAAGATGCTGTGAGAGACTCTACTTGTCCGAAAGCCTTGAACCAATACTGTAAAGCTTTTCTTATAAAATATAACACAGATGGGTGGAGAGTGAGCTTCATTAAGAACGTGGTTACTACCATGACATCTTCAGCGTCATGCAATGTGCATTATCTCATTCAAAATTGTTTTTGTGTGTTAATGCAGTTAATGCAGTGTGTAAATGAGTGTTCGCTATGTTCTTAGGTGAGTTTTGCAGTCATTTTATGCGAATGGAAGATGTCAAAGAAAGAGTCTGGATAGAAGCCTGTTAATAATCGTTGAATGATAATTTATTTGGGCGACATTTGATTGCACATCATGAATGAGCTTTTTGTTTTTAACCATGCATGTGTATTTTATAATTATTGACATTGGACTTTAGAAATCGGAACGTCTGTTGTTTTTGTAGTCTTGGAGCACAGTTTGGGTGAACAGAAGTTATAGGATAGTCCAGTAATTCAAAAATCGTCTTTCAAAAAAATTTGGACAGGCTGAAACAAGTTTTATTTGTCCCCTTCATTTTAAACTTTACGTGGGTGTGCGGGAAACAAGAATCGGGACAAAACTTCTTTTTTTTAGGAGGGGGGGGGGAGGGGGTTCTTCTATAAAACGAAGTAATGACGGAATCATCGCTTGAAATTTATTGAACGTACTGTCAGAGTATTTTCCGTTAACGTGTCTTATTCTAGCAGGGTTTCTTTTAGGCTATTACTTCTTTATTGAAAATGTGTCTTAATTTAGATCTGATCTAAAAGCAAGAAGAAAGTTTTAATCAAACATTTTTAGTGGTCTTTTTTTCTCTCTCTTTAAAAAATAGACTTCAGTGATTCCGAGAAATGGGTTGTGTAAAATGTTGTTCGTTTCATTTATACTGTGTGGTTGTTGTTGTTGTTGTTGTTGTTGTTGTTGTTGTTGTTGTTGTTGTTGTTCCAATGTGGATTTTTTTACATCATAAACGAATCTACTGAATTGCCACTGTTGATGCTGTACATTTATTGTATACGTACACTTGTTAATGTTTTGATAATGATTGCTAAGTATGTGACATTCTTTATGAACATGAACATGAACAAAATCGCCCCGTGTTTGAGTGCTTTATTCATCTGACTCTTCGTTTTATGTTTTCCTCTTTTCTTTGTTCTCGTCCCCTCATTCCTTTGTCTTCTTGCCTTGTTTTCCCCCTTTATCTTCTTTCTCCTTTCTATCCTTTCTACCCATCTCCTCTGTCAAAATTGTTTCTTTTTATTTAAATCTCTTCACTATTATTGTTGCTATCTTTAAATGAAATTTGCCTGGGTGCGTGTGTTTTTGTGTGTGTATGTGTACATGTGTGTGTGTGTATGTGTGTGTGTGTGTGTGTGTGTGTGTGTGTGTGTGTGTGTGTGTGTGTGTGCGCGTGTGTGTATGTCTGAGTCTGAGTGAGTGAATACGAGCGAGTGTATGCGTGGTCATTTATGCAAGGGCTCATAACCGGGTTCTCTCTTTGCTTTATCACACTAGAAAAACAAGAAAAATCGAGAAGTCCGTGTTGGAACACATGTGCCAGAGTATTATAATACTCCTATCTGCTCAGTACCTATAAGATAAGATAAGATGAGATAATAGCCTTTGAAAATTTTGACTTCAAAATTTTGAGTTCCACAAGGTATCAAGCTGTTTGGTATGCAATTATAAAAAAATAACTTGATAAGGACTCCGAATAATCTTACGACTTAGATAGAGCAGATATAACATTTGGTTTCTGACTTCATTGTTTTAGTAACTCAAAACGGCCAAAAATGTGAGAGAGAACTTTGTAATTTTAAGGAAGCATATTATCCCGTATCTTCTTTTCTCGACTCCATTCGACACCAACCTTTTTGAGCTTTTTGTCGTTTCACTACGTATCTGAAGATTGATCGAGGGCATGCTGTTAGCTCAGTTGATGTTATCCTGCTGGGCTTTGTTGACAATGGCCCTGGTTCGAATCCCTGTTGAGGTGTTTTTGAACTTAGATTGTTTTGGGGAGTTTTTAAGGCTCTCCAACCACTTGTTTCGCCAAGTTCTATCGGAGATGGACGTTAAATTCAGAGTTCTGCTTCTTAAATAACCGTACAGTGTTGGTAGAGGCGTAAAACCTAAACAATAACTACCACTAACTGCTCAGAAGATTAAAGACCGTACTGGATGCTTTAAGGAGTTGCAAGGTTGATGGGTTCTTACCTGGGTGAGGGAAGCTTGTTCCTATTTTGTCGAGTTAGTCAGGAGCTCATGGAAGGGAGCATTTGACCAACAGAGTTGAAATTAGCGTGAAAGCAGCAATTGGTGTACATTTTCTTACTTTGAAAACAGAGACTATTCTTCATTATGGGATTTCTCGATAGCGTTGGGTAGATATTGAGGAACATGTGAAGATGCCATGACAAAATGTGTTGCATCGTGGTGCATCCAGGCGCTCGTCAAAATAATAAAATAGAAGAAATCAGCTTTTTTCGACGGTTGGACAATTTTTATCGATTATATTTTTGACTCAGCACCATTAGTATTCAATTAAAACGCATTTCTGTGTAGATTTTGTAAGGAAAAAAACAACCATTGATTAAAAGCACAGAAAATGTAAAATTTGCTGTTTCCAAGAAACCTCATGTTTTAGGAGTCACCAAACTTTGGTGGCCATTTTCTCGCTAATTTTCTCTTGACATCAGGTGACCCCTGACTTCTTCAACAGCAAATATCTCTACTTCTATTCAAGATAAATCGATACGTTTTCATCAAAAGTAAAACAAATGAGTAAGCTTCAAGATTATATATATAAATAGCTTCACATGTTCAAAAATTGACAATCCCCT